TGACCAAATTTACATGCCAACATAAAAGCATTCATTCCATCTTTCTTTTGAACATTAGGATCAACTTGTTCCTTCAGCAGCAGTTGGACTATTTGAGTGTGACCATTTTGACAAGCTAACATGAAAGCATTGCCTCCATCTTTCTCTTGAACATTAGGATCAACTTTTTTGTTCAGCAACAGTTGGACTATTTGAGTGTGACCATTTTGACAAGCTAACATGAAAGCATTACCTCCATCTTTCTCTTGAACATTAGGATCAACTTTTTTGTTCAGCAACAGTTGGACTATTTGAGTGTGACCATTTTGACAAGCTAACATGAAAGCATTACCTCCATCTTTCTCTTGAACATTAGGATCAACTTTTTCCTTCAGCAGCAGTTCAACTATTTGAGTGTGACCACTTGCACATGCCCTCATAAGTGCATTCACTCCATCTTTCTTTTGAACATTAGGATCAACTTGTTCCTTTAGCAACAGTTGAACGATTTGAGTGTGACCATTTTCACAAGCTAACATAAAAGCATTCCAACCTTCTTTGTTTTGTACATTAGGATCAACTTGCTCCTTCAGTAACAGTTCAACTATTTGAGTGTGACCATTTCGACTAGCCAGCATAAAAGCATTTACTCCATTTTTCTCTTGAACATTAGGATCAACTTGTTCCTTTAACAGCAGTTGAACAATTTGAGTATGACCATTTGCACATGCCTTCATAAGAGCAGTCGAACCATCTTTTTGTTGATATTTGCAATCAACTTTTTTACTTATAAACAGCTGAACAACCTCATAGTGGCCTTGGTAGCTAGCAATTATCAAAGCATTTGATCCATTTGTTGTCCTCAGATCAAAAACAGCATTAGCTTGTAGCAATGTATTAATGATTGAAATGTGATTATGTTCGCTTGCTATCATTAGTGCAGTCCATCCTTTATTGTCCTGAATGTTAACATTAGCTCCAGCAGACAGTAAACTGTGTACAATGTCCTCACACCCTCCTTTACAAGCTAACATTAATGCTGTCTTGCCCTCTTCATTAGTATGATTAATATTAACAGTTTTTAGTTGAAGAAGAAGCTCTACTGCTTCATTATTACCAGCTGTGACTGCCTTAAGGAGAGCTAGTTCAAAGGTAAAGTTTGCATTCTCATCACCTTGAAGGACAGGATGATCATCGATGTATGAACTAAATATACCAATAAGGCGCAAAAACTTTAACTTTCTCTGAGTATATTCTTTTAGACTATCAGCTGTGCAGTGAAGAACTGGGTATGTAATGTACACTGATCCAGGACGGATAGAGATAAATTTCATTAGTGATTGTCTACTCTCCATTGGCAGCAATTTTTTTATCAGAAGCTTCAATCCTTCTATACTAATATCCTCCCAGACAGTTTGAACTTTTATGTGAATGACAGGCATGTTATGCTTGTCGTTTCCAAAAGATCCAATTGTATCATTTAGAACTTTTCTAAGTTTATTTATTGTTTTTGAATGACAGAGTGCCTTGGCTTTGAGATTGTGACTCTTAATATCATCCACAATATAAGAGGATTGATCATCTTCAAGAAATGTTTCACTCATGTCCAGTATTAATTTGCAGTCTATAAAATCATAGTAGGGATCAATTTTCTTGAAGATATCATCAAGGTTACTTTCTACTGTAATGGGCTCCCAATGTATGTAGGCTTTAACCCACTTTGATATTTCTGTAACCAAGTCCTCATTTTGACTTGTTTTTTCGGCTAAGACTCTTTGAAACTCAGTTGATAATTTAGAAAATTT